CAGACGTGTTTGTTGAGATCGACGCAAATTGGACTGTTATTTCTGCATGGCACCAAAGCAAGCAAGTGGAAGTAGTAAAGCCGCTGAAAAAAGAGGAAAATAGTACGCAAAACTATTAAATTTAAGAAAGATTTGATCGTGAAATATGAATCAGGTGTGCATGTGTCTGTGTTGGCTCAGGAGTTCGGCATGCCAAAATCAGCAGCATCCTTAAAAAGAAAGACAATCATTCAGTCAGTGATGTGGCTAAAGGATCTCATGTATTGTGTGTGAACAAAGGCCACAAATATTAGCGGAAGTGGAGAAATGTTTGCTTATTTTCATAAATGAGAAACAACTAGCAGGGGACAGTCTTAGCCAAGATATGATTTGTGGCAAAACAAGACAATTGTATGGAGATTCCTAGCATGGCTCCTGAAGAGTTGATTTTAAAGCAAGCAGAGGATGGTTCGAAAAGTTGAGGAAAATAAGTGATTCGTCATTGGGAGGCAGCCAGTTCAGACAAGGAAACATAGACACATTTTATGTGGGCCAAAATTGAGCTTCCCCTATTTGACAGACCAGCATCCGCCACTGGTGTGTGTGTGCACAGTCTTCCCCAGCAAACTTTTAATATGGACGAGACTTGACTTGTGTGGAAAAGCGGTTCAGAAAATGGATGGAGGGATGTTACCTTGTACCATAGTGAAGGATTGCATACAGCGCGTCCATAGTTACAGCCGATACTTTCGGGTTTATGAATTCAAGGTGTAAAAGAATGCAATCTACAATTGTCACGATGAGAGAGAGAGAGACAGAGAGATGTTCAATTTTTATGTTACAATGTCAATGTTTATGTTAAAATTGGTAAAAATAAAACATACAAATGTTTGTAGTTTGTTGTTACCTGCTCTCTTATTACACGTGTATACAGTTTATGGTGTAAAATAGTTGAAAAAAATGCTTTTACAAAAGTTGTCGTCGTGATTCGGCACTGTAGGGCTCTCCCTGCAGCTGCACACCTGTTGGTCGTTATATAATTAGTGCTTTAAAAGGACTCCTAGCCCGAGCACACATTGTCGGGTCATTGTTTGTTGCCGTTAGTTTGTTACTGTCATGTTTGTTCCGGTCATGTTTCTGTTCTAGTTTTTTGAGCATCAGTCATGGTTTTATTTGATACGTTGGATTCGTTTTGGTTGTTAGCACTTTGTTTTGGATTTAGTTTTCTCTGTATTTTATTAAATACAATTCGTCAAGTTTACCCTGCTCCTCCCTCCTGCCTCCTTTTTGGGGTCCACCACCACCACGCAAATGTGACAGTTGTTTTCTAGACTTGGAACGGATTAAAAAATTTTTACATTGATTCTAATGTGAAACATGGTTTCGGTTTTCGAACAATTCGGTTTTCGAACAGCCTTTTGGAACAGATTATGGTCGAAAACCGAGGTTTGACTGCACATACACACACACACACACACACACACGCACACACACACTTGGCAAAGGTAGATAAATAAGGGCATTTACTTTTAGTGTTACTATAACATTTCAAGTCGGGTTAAGACCAATGTTTCTTTTTCCTCTATGTGAGACTGAGGGAGGCTTTGCAAGAATACTACAAGGAAAAATGTGTTATAAACACCTGCAAACTGATCGAAACTGGAAGCCTTTCCTTTCATTTCACGACGTTGCATACCGCAGCTGTAAACGAATCTCGCAACGTGAACCTCTTGTACTGCTGACAGTATGCAAGGTGACACCAATCCTTTCTCCCTGTTGTTCCTCCTTTTTCCACCAATCTCCTCCTATTTGTCAGAGGAGCTGAAATGAGAACAAGAGGGAGGAGAGGGGGCTGAAATCAGAGTCCTCCCCTTGGAGGTGGAGGCGATTTATAGCATGTTTGTGCATGAGGTGGAGCAGTGGGAGGAGTGCGGGAGAGGAAAGGAAATGAAAGCATGAGGCAGCGACATAAGTTGAAGAAGTGGGACAAAAGTCTTCTGAGAGCAAAATAAAAGACCTATGGAGTTTATTGTTTGTGTCCGAGACACTGTGGAAATAAGCATTAAATAGCAGGGGCACGTTATTTGATTCTGTCCCTAAGGATGATTAAATAAGTAACTCCGTGTTGGAGTCATACCAAGTGTTGGACAGGATACACACAGGTAAGGACAAAGGTCACTTCTTGCACTTGCAACCTGGTGGCGTTTTCTTGGATAAAATGAGAGCTGAATGTTTTTTTTTCTACTATTCTGCTTGATAGAAAGATTCCCCCATTTGGTATTTACTTTAGTCTTCCATGTGTGTGCTATACTGTTTTTACCATCCAGGTTTGAATTAGTTGTGATATATGCTGTGCCCAAACACTCACAGTGGGCAGTACAGGTGAAGAGTAGTGTGTTAAAAGTGTTAGCGCTTTCTTTCACTGTGAATGGCAAGAGAAATTGGTTGTCGTTGTTGTCGTGTAAAGTTGACTGTATTTTCTTCAATGCAAAAGACATGAGATGGATTGCATACAGCGTGAAAAGGTTTCTCAAAATCTCTTGGAGAAGAAAATATTTGAGCAGTTCCATTGTCTTCCTCGTAATTGTAGTTCACAAACACACTAGAAAATTTAATCTTGCTAAACTCACATTTAACAGATGAAGATGATTAACAATGTTTTGTTTTGAGAAAGCACAGTAAAATTTGAATACAGTAGATAGATTAAGTTACGTTGTACTCCAACTCTGTACAAGGATGACCAAGCAAAGTCGTCGTTTGACCTAATGAACAATCCAAACCTCCTGAGAACACAAAGAAGCTTTAAACAAGTGTTGACAATGTTTCCTTTCAGCAGCAAGGTTTTGTGGTCAAACAATATTCCATTTGTTAATGACAATCACTTAAAATAAGTGTCGAAGAGCAAAACAGAAGATCTGTTAACCCCCACTTTGGACAGGGGTTCGCGGCCAGCCGGCAACGCGAAGAGTGAAAATTTGCATTGCCCCCACACTCCCTGTGCATGTGTGATGTCACGTCAGTTTTTGTTTCAGTGTTATTTAGGCGAATATGTTAGCAATTGCTCAGCCTCGCGTAAAGGTGGTTTGTTTGAGATGTGACGTCATAAAACAGAAACACCAAGCAGGATCACCTCGTAATCGATGTCGAATTTGAAGCACAGTGCAACTCTTTATGCCAGGTGACATTTCACTCCACGAAGCTGTCTTACAATGCGTTGCGAAATAGGGTCTACAAAAAAGGTAATGCAAGCAAAACAGTGAGGTTAGTCGAACATGATTCTATTCAACCATTGACAATACACTCAAATTATTTTTTAATGATTCTTCTCCCACAAATCTGTCAACGTTGTCATCACCTGTGTCTGACTTGATCAGCTGGGCAATTTTGCCATCATACATGATGCTTTTAGGTGTGCCTTATGGTGTTGAAAATACAGTGTGTGTGTGTGTGTGTGTGTGTGTGATTGCTGGAGCCTATCCCAGCCGTCGGGGAAAAAGATGGAACAACCCCTGAACTGGTCGCTTAATGTAATACAGTAAATATTCTCTAGTACGGACTCATGTTTGCGCTGTCCAATCTCTCCTTATAAGAGAATTTACGTATTTGACAAAATGCACATGTAACAACACAAGCAATAAAATGCAAAAATATACTGTTCAATTCCAGCAACGGCCTCCCTGTGTGGAATTTGCATGTTCTCACCGGGCCTGAATGGGTTTTCTCCGGGTACTCCGGTTTCCTTACAGTATACAGTACAGGTGTAGAGTATTAAAAAAATCACAAGACAGTACACTACGTACAGTATTTTAATGTTGATTTTTTTTTCGCATTGGGAAAAAAAATGAGTCTATTTTGTTTTGTTTTGTTTTGTTGGGTTGTTCTTCGTTTCGATGCCATGGTCTGCAGGACGTAAGTGAATAAAGTTAAAATCTTTCGCAATTACAGTAAAACGCACGCCAATAAAAAGTCATTTACACGTCGTCATTTCGGATTCGATGATAGAAAACGGCGAAGCGAACACGTTTCTTCCGTCATGTCTCCTGTTGTGTCGAGTTGGCGCTGCTTTTTAAGCTAGTGCCGCGATCTACAGGACGTAAGTAAATAAAGTTAAAATCATTCGCAATTACAGTAAAACGCACGCCAATAAAAAGTCACACGTCGTCGTTTCGAATCCGATGATAGAAAACGGCGAAGTTAACACGTGTCTTCCGTTTGTCACGTTTCGGTTTGTGACCAACAGGTGGCACTGTGGGGCTTTTCCCCCTGTAGCTGCACACCTGTTGGTAATTTGGTAATTGGAGCTATAAAAGGACTCCCAGCCTGACCACTCACTGTCGGGTCATTGTTGCTTTGTGCTACTGTCATGTTTGTTTGCTGTCATGTTTGTTTGTCAGGTTTTGGTCAGTGTTATGTTTTATCTTAAGTCATGGTTTTTGTTTGTTACTTTGGACTTTGTTTTGGATTTAGTTTTCTTTGTTTTAAATACACTTCTTCGAATACACCCTGCTCCTCCCTCCTGCCTGCTTTTTGGGGTCCACCACCACCTCGCTACGTGACACCGTTGTGTCTTCCGTTGCATCGGGTGGGCGCTGCGTGTATTTAAGCTCCCGCGACCTTCCGTCTCCATCCGGGTTACGGATAGTGGAACTTCCGCTTAAGTAAGTTCCGGTAAAATGTAATATCATAGTCAAAATGTTAATGCATAGGTTTTTATTCCGGGTGAAGGAAATTCCTTTTCATAGAAAGATGGGAATATTTACTGTACTCTAAATTGTGCAGAGTGTGATTGCGGCCTGGGCCTTCCTGTGTATTGTTTGCATGTTCGCCCCATGTGTTGTGTTTTAGCTTGAGTTGTTTCACAGGTTTTGCCAAAATTATTTGTTTGTTTTTTTTCAAAAACATCACAAACTGCATCATGGCTGTTGAAATGGCTCCACACACGACTCCAACATACACTCAGGCATCAGATCTGACTGAGTGACTTAAACACTGAGCATGGCGTGCCACTGCGCTTGCACATTACACACGCAACCAAGCTGAAGAAAAAGTAGTTCCCACCAACTCTGTATCACTCCTGAATCTGAGACTCGATTTCCCGACCGATCCTCCTCTCCAGCATCCCTGAATAGGATGAGGAGTGTGATCTCTCTGTAATCGGAACACACCGTCTGGTCCCCCTTCTTAAAAAGGACCACCACCCCAGTCTGTCAATATGGAGGCACTCTCCCCGATGACCATGCGATGTTGCAGAGGTGTGCCAACCAGGACAGCCCTACAGCATCCAGAGCCTAGACCTAGAGGGACTCGGGACAGATCTCATCCACCCTCAATGCTCTGCCACCGAGGAGCCTTTTAACCACTTGGGTCACTTCAATCCCAGAGAGAAGAGAGCCCACCTCAGAGTCCCCAAACTTTGTTTCCTCCAAGGAAGGCGTGTTGGTGGAGTTGAGGAGGTCTTCAAAGTATTCTGCCCAACGACTCACAATGTTCCAAGTCGAAGTCAGCAGTGCCCCATCCCCACCATAAAGAGTGTTAATGGTGCACTGCTTCCCCCTCCCGAGATGTTGGATGGTGGATCGGAATTCCCTCAAAGCCTTCCGAAAGTCGGCTTCCATGGACTCGCCGAACTTCTCCCAACTGCTGGCAATGAAGTGGCACTTTGTATCGCTGCCCTTCTTCCTTGCCTTAGTTCTGCTGCCGCTGGTGTAAATCTATTCAGACTTGCAGCAATCGGGCTAGCTGAAACTAGTGACATGAGGCTATGTGCGACTATCATCTTTATGTATTTTTTTTCTTGCATCATCACAATATCCTCTTTCTGTCGGTTTGTTTTGGTGATAAACTCTTTCGGTCTGAAAAAAAGAAATGCAGTTTTGGACTTGAGACTGGTCTTATCTGGGACAGTTTCTGAAGGTGGGTATGGCCTGACAAATCGGCGTTGTAGCCATTGAGGCACCATAAATGTCAAACCCTGTGGGCATAAGAAATGTGCCACCTGTTCTATTGTGTTTAATATGTTTTAAAAATGATGTTTCTTGTTCTCCTTCCCAGATGAAAAGATGCATCCATCTGAGTTGGCATCTACGCTCTTCTCTCTCACCCATTACGCTTGACCTCTGACCCTTATCACTCTCAGCCACCATAACATCATGACCTTGCTGTGCCGTGGACGCCTGAAGTTTTTAGTAGCGTCTTTAACTACCATTGTGCTCCTTACCGGGCTCTATCTGCTGTCTGGAAACCTGGAGTGTGAGTACAAATTTTCACAGACAAATTGCAGTATGTGCAAATAGTTTCAGGGGAATGAAACATTTGAGAATAGGACATCACTATGGTATTCAGCTCAACTTCTCAACAGCTGCTCAGTTTTCATTAATTTTAAGGGGACTATTCAGTTGACTCTGAATTTCCACTCGAGTATTACTGGCAGCTATTAAAGTTGCATTAGCAAATTGCAGTCAGCACTATATTGTAATTTGAACGATAATAGCATCAAGTAACGGGATGATTCTTTCATCAATCACACCTAAACATGCACAAATAAGGTGTCAGAATGAGGTCCGATATTGCCTCACAACATATTCTTGTGCAGTTGCATCTGGTAAACCATTTGCGTCATGCTGTTGTTATTCCTGCATATTTCTGTGTTTTCTACACTGCAGCGGTTGCCGTGAAAACCAAGGCACTTAGCCTTTAACTCATTAATCACATAAAGAAAAGTCCTTATCTTCCCTTTCCCTTTTTACAGATGGTAGATCCCTGTTCCTTCCTCCCTGTTTGGTGGACATGCCGGCATCTCAGTTCTTGGAACGAGCCATCCTCGAGTCACGGGTTCGAGAGGTGGAAGAGGAAAACAGACAGATCAGACTACAGCTCAGCCAGTCACAGAGCACTGCTACCCAGTCAGCTGAGAGAAATTATGGCAACTTGCAATGGGGTGCTTCTGCTGACATTGGACCAGAGGACGGGTACAACACAGTGGAAGAGAAGAAGAACCACTCTGAGTGTTCAAGATTGCCTGCCGTCCAGAAGTGTGAGGTAAATAAACTATCATTTACTTTTCCGAGCATAAAGGGCTTGGCTGTACATCGGTTGTTTCTTGGGTGGCTGTGCTTTGTGTCATTTGTCAAACATCTTTGGTTTGGAGACATTATTCCAAATGTGACATTTTCATAACATTGTTGGTAATGCAATTAAATTATGCAACATTGTCGAGTGACTAGTTGACTGATTCAAGTGTCAACAGCTGTTGAACATTGTTAAGTTTCTTGAAACTTCTGAGGAAAAGAGCTTTTTGTGAAAGGATGCATTTCAAGTAGAACTGTCACTTTGCATTTGTGATACCTCAACTATCTAAACAGTGCTTTTCGACTAAATAACAACAGAAACAACACAAAAAGGTCACTTTGACTGCAAAATAACAGTTTATTGCAAGAAAAACAGTGTGCTGATGCGTGCCCTATGCATGAAGTTTTCATGAACGTGGAACTGTGTGTGTGTGTGTGTGTGTGTGTGCGCGTGTGTGTGTGTGTGTGTGCTCGTGTTTGTCAAGAATGACAATGCATTTCGTCATCTTTTTTTTTTTTATTTGAAAAAGCTGTAGTTGAGGTAGCTGCTGGTATTTATCCATGTTCTCACGACCACACTGCTTCCACATGTCACCTTGCGACGTAGGATCGCCATAGGATCGCCATACCACACCCACTCACACTGTGAGAGCGACCAAGAGCTGCTGTCACTCCTGCCATCTAATGGTCATTTATCATACTGAAATCATTCCCACAGTATGAATACGGATTGAGGAGATGCACGAATTCCTTTTTGAATATATTTTGAATAAAACACACCCAAAACGTATTTGTACATTTTGGCACTAATTGATTGGGTTTTTGCAAACTGATTTGTACATTGTGGCATTAAATGAGTTAAATGGTGAAATATAGCAATAAAAAATGTGCACATTCAATCACAAATCACTGTGCACTATGTACAGGTAGAAATTGGAATGTTCAAAATACCTCATTGCATTTCCCAATTTAAAATATGCACATCATACACTTTCCATTCATCCGCTATAATATACAAAAAGAATCAGAGTAGCATTGACAGTGACTAAAATTCAGGAAGATAAATATACACACACACACACACGCACGCACGCATGCACGCATGCATGCACGCACACACTTTGATCTTTTTTTCTGCCTCTGAGCTCCAACTATTCATAGATGTTGCTGCTAAATATCCAGTGAACTGATATCATACATATTTGACGAGCTACAGTAAATTCTAAGTTTCACATCAAGGGACTGACTGAATGTCCTGGAGACAGCAGCTCTTATGTAAAGTTGCCAGGATCACTGCTGGAGTCTCAGACTGGGCTTTAACCTGGAACCAGGGATTACAAACTGACAAAGGACACGTCTGTTGTGATTATATTCTTGTTAATATTTAACCTTGGTAATTAGACATATTTTGAAATTATATTTCAGCAAACGTTTTCTGATATTGTGATATGATATTTATACCAGTGGACAAATTCACACGGACATCTCCTGTAGGTCAAGCAGCAGTGTAGAGTATAATGCACGCTGAAATCCAAGTAATTGAATCGGACCAGTATCAGAGATTTCCCTTTCTATATTGAGGTTTGAGAATCACCTTTTCACCGCGAATATGATTCAGTGTTGGTGTCAAGTTTGTGTTTGCATGCCTTCAATTTGCAGGGGGAGAATCCAAATAATTGTAAATGCTGAGTATGCACTCTGTGACATCGACAGTTTCATGTTTCTGCAGGTAATACACGTCGCCTGTGTTTGTGCTGGACACAAAGCCAGTAGAGATGTGGTCACACTTGTCAAGTCGGTCCTCTTTCACAGGTGAGCTATGTCATCTGATTTAATTTCAGAATATTAGTGTTGGGTGTCATTAGCAATCATTAGGGATAATATAATGGATTGACAGATAGCAGTTATAATGACAACAACAAAAAAAAACCATTTTAAATGTTCAAGTATCAAGCTGGACTTGAGTCTAAAATTTCAAGTTAATCACACTTGCAAGAGGGCGCGGGGCGATTCATTGCCCCCAATTTTTTTTTTATGCCCCCAATAAGTTGGAATCAAAATTCTTCAAAGGGCATGCATAGATGCCTTCTGAAGTCATCCACAAAGATTATTAGTAGATAAATGGTTACTGAGGGATGACTTAAAAGCTGCACGCCCAACACCTGCAAAAATGTTTTGACCAATGGCAGTCATGTTTCTCACATTTTAAGATATTGTGTGTCACTCCTTAAGGCTGGGTTCCAAGTTTAGTCATGGTATTTGAAATTGACATGACGCAATGTTACACAATCTTGCATAAAAGTGACTTTTGGCCTTTCCCTGTCAGGGGTCGCTGGTGCGATGACAGCCCTTCCTGACACAACCCACCCATTTTCATCCGGATCATATTTTATGAACATGAAATCAAATTGACCACGCTATTTTCTTCTAAGTTGCGCCAACCATTTTGTAAACTACACTGCAGTTATAAAAATTGAAAGTCATCACACGCTTATGAGAAAAGGAGTGTAGCCTTTCAAAATCTCTGCTTTTGAATGGTGTGCGCAGATGTGGCGACCCCTGTAGGTTGTGCTGATTTGTTTGGTGGACAGAATCAGATAAAGGTTGTCTCATTTGGCCATGTTTTGAAGCTGATTTGGTTTAAACTTTCCAAACTGTTGTCTGCAATGTTTGTTGTTGTTGTTGTTTTAGAAATGTGATTAATTTCATGATGTTTTCAATTGACTGAGCTGAGTTTTCCCTCCCTCAATTTTCCAGGAGAAACCCTCTTCACTTTCATTTTATCACCGATGCTGTGGCCAACCAAACTTTGAGCTCCCTGTTTCAGTCCTGGATGATCCCTTCTGTGCAAGTTAGCTTTTACGATGCAGAAGAACTCAAGGTAAGAGTATGCCAGACACGCATAACTGTGTCAGTCCCAAAAGTTGTACAATGCCCTTGCCACCTGCTCCCTGTTACTAAAGCATGAGTCACAACAATTATCAGATCAAAAGACAATCTCTGCTGTCAAAAGGAGCTGCGCTGATTCAAAGACGAAAAATGGTCTTGCAGAAAATTGATTTCACCAAGTTTAAAGAGCATCAAAGTTAAAAAGACAACCATATAAAAACTCCACAGTGCAGATAAGGCAGTGTTGTTTTTGGCAGCCATTTTAGATTTAGTCTTAGTCTTTGGGGCAAAAATGCGTCTTCATTTTAGTCGCATTTTAGTCTTTCCTATCTGTGATAGTTTTAGTCTAGTTTTCGTCAACGAAAATTCAAAAAAGGTTTTCATCTAGTTTTGGTCGACAAATACTCGATAAGGTTTTAGTCTAGTTTTCGTCATTTTAGTTCCAGTCTCGTCTCGTCAACGAAAACTCATGTTCGTCACGTCATATTTTAGTCATCAAAGAACCACGTTTAGCTTGTCATCGTCTCGTTATCGTCATAAAAAAAGGGGCGTTAACGAAATAATTTTGTCATCGTCGACGAAAACAACACTAGTTGGAGGAGGGACACATCCAAAATTTGCAGGGTGGGCCCCTCGAGTACCGGAGTTGGTGATCCCTGCTCTACTGGTTATGTATATCGATGGGCTTCTTCGACACATTGCCCGAATGGAGCGCAGCGTTGCCTCATGCTGGCACCGGCTCAGTACATTCTGGGCTCCAACGTACACTTTGAGTCACTTTTCTGGCCATAAAGAGTGACGAAATATGTCACACGCATTCTTAAATATTATACACAAACAGTTGAACGTCAGCACGTGTGTGACAAAGTTATTGGTGACAGAAAGACAAACAGAAATGTCTCTTATTTGCCTGAGTTGGCGATGCATGTGCGTGGGCTCCAATTCACTTCCTGCCCATATATTTGAACAGGAAATATGCGCATTCAGCGATTTAATGATGAGGTTTTTTTTCTGCTTGGCTGTCAACGGAGGAAGACGCTTCTGCTTCGGCTCCTCTCCTCCCTTATCTTCACTGCTGTCCTTGTCTCGTGTCGTCTTGTGTCTTTTCTTCCGAAAATGTCACCATGGATTTCCTCAGCTGGTCTCTAGACACAATTGACAAGATTTTCTCAACTATAAATGGTAGCGAAGAAACGGCTTGCCCTGAGTGGACAGTTAGAGCTGGATACGCCTTGCATTCCCGGAAAAGATGGAAGATGCTGTGTCTGTCTATTCTGTCCATCGAGGGTGGGGAAGACAACTATGCCATTGCAATTCTGAGAAAAGGTATCCTGTTGTTTGGAGCTGGCAGTTTCTCGATTTATTGTAAAAGTCACGGGAGCAGCTCCTATTGGAGGTGAACAAGCTGCCGGTCTTTCTGAATGGTGTTGGACTAGCTGTCAACTCTCAGACTCAGGTGATGAGTAAACTCAATCTTTGGACACTGTGGAAATTGGTCCACAATGTCAAGACATTGTTGGATTTGATTGCCAATTTGGCTAATTTATGGACTTTGAGTTGCACCAACAAAGATTCAATGTTGACTGAAATTATTGTTAGCCTGTTCCTAAAACAACAGCTATCTGGACTTTCTCCTGCAAGTGATGCTGCCAGGCACTTGTCCTTCACCTCTCCCATTCTCCTGTGGTCTATGTTTCTGTTTACTTTCACGTGCTGGCTGGGACATCAACACACACAATTCACGACTCCACACAATGCAAGCACATGCCTGACATTTCTCCACCTTTGTTGGCTTTAGCACACACTCCACCTCCTCGTGATGGCCCAGGTGTGCTGCGGATGCCTTAGCCTTGACATGGATGCGCTGTGAGACAGAGTGCCTGGGTGTCACAACATCCTACACAACCTTCTACATGTGGATGTCTTAGAGTTCGGTTGTCATGTCTTTCATTACGTTTAAGCGATGCTCTCCTAGAAAGAACATAGATTGGGCCTTGTTTTTTTCCTGTGTTTTCTTGTTTTTCATCGAAGAAAGTGGGGCGCTAAAACGATCTATCTCCCTCGGCTGGTCATTGTTATTTCTTTTTTGTTGGACAGGTTGTGACCGTGAAGACAAATTCCTTGTGTGTTTTTACACACTTGGCAAATAAATCAGATTCTGATCTTTATTGCATTGTGAAAAGGAAATCAATGGAAAGCTTGGACCATTGAACTAAATCATTACCGGTACATAATTTAAAACAATCATTCAAAGGTTTTTTTTTTTTTTGTTTGTTTTTTATTTACTATTTACACACACAGCACGTATGTTGACAAATTGCTCTGCTTTTGTCTGTCTACATAGCAGGTTAGCCCATCAGTGGAAGCTCAGTGTACACACATTTACCTTCATGTGAGAATTTATTTCCATGATGTTTTCAAAAATAAAGCTTGAGTGAAAGTAAATAATGAATAACTCATATATAATTCACCTTCATAAATCTGATATTAATACTGGTTAAAAATAAGTCTGTGACAAATTCAGAGTAAAGCCAATATAAAAGTGAAAAGTTAATAGAAATAAATTCAGTTCAAGTTCACCTATAGGACATAAATCAAGATGAGTTCATCCCACAATAGCTCGTTAGCGTCTCCATTTAAACTGTATATATATATATATATATATATATATATAGTTGGGGGGGGACAGCTACTGTGGGTAATGAAGCAAACGTCAATGATGTTTTCAAGCTTTTGACGTGGAATGATGCCTGATTGGTTGCTGCAAGCTACTTCAACAGAAATGAACTTTAAGTTCGTTTGGAACCAGAATCTGAACCAGAATCATTCCAGTCCAAAGGACACCCAACCCTACCTTTGTTTTGTTCGTGGTCATTTTTACCCCTGCCACTTTAGAGAGTCACCAGCCACATTGACTGGTGATCCAAAAAGTTCATTCAGAACCCTGGTCACAAGGATGGGAAATGGGCTCTTGGGCTTTGCTGAGGAGCTTAACTTCAGACCAGACAGTTCCAAACAGTCACCATGAGCTTGCAGAAAGCAGCAACAAAAGGTGCGTTGCTAAACGTGCATCTGAGGATCAACCGGAAGAGCACTAAGGAATTGTTACTGCAATTGTGTTAGCAATGTTACATCAACATGAAATCTGGATCACAACAAGCCCAGTCAAATCAAGGCATGTCATTTTCTTTGCCTAAAATTCCTCTGTCATGCAAAGCAAAGGAAATATTTACACATTTTTATGAGATTTCAACTGGGACTTTCTTGTTAATTCTCTCCCACAAGCAATACAGGTACATGAACAGAACATAACACACAACTCAGTGGCAGTTATGACTGCGGGAAGAAGGCTTTTCTGAAAAAGAGCCCTCCTGCACCCTAGTGACCTGTAACTGCGCCCCGAGGGCATGAGGGTGAGGTATTTATGGTGTGTGTGTGAATCGTGTTTTGAATTATTGAAGTTGTATTACTTCTGGCAGCTTCATTATAGAATTTAGTGAGATTGGCTCTACGGACAGACCAATGATATTTGCAGCAGTGTTGGTTTATATCTGTGAGTTTACATTGTTTTTTTTGTTTTTTTTAAACAAACAGATTTTTATAGAAATAGATGGATCAGTATAGAAACATCAGTGGGATGATGCTTGAATACAGTAACAAAAAGAGATGTGGCGCAACACAAAGCTCTCTGAGTTCGCAGAGGGCTTATTGTGTCTGGTGACCCCGTTGAATGTCCATGATGTGCCGGTCGAAAGTTCATTTGTTGTCCAGTTTTCCCCCAATGTATTTCTACTGCTTTGTTGTTGATGGCAGTGAGCTGCTGAAGAGTTGTGAAGACCGATAGTTAAGTTTATCATTTTTCTTCAGTGTGTTTGTTTGTATTTTCGGTGACTTTGAGGATGATATTGGGTGAATACACATGCGCACTGATACACTTCCAAAAATTTCTATTAAATATCAAGTAAATATAATATTTCAAATACCCAAATAAATTCATATATTTTGTTATTTGTATTCCTGAGCTATTTTATTCAACTCCAGTATGTATTCAAATTTGCACTAAAAAGACATTTGGGCAACCTATTTTGGAACACGTGTCGGAAAAAGGATTAGACAAAAATGAAAAATATTTATCCTCCAAGGTTGTGTTATGGCCCCTTCTCTCTCCCTTCTTTGGTTCCGTGCCTGCATGCGTGGGTGAGTGAATGAGTGAGCCAGCGAGTGAGTGAGTGAGTGCATGCTTGTGTGTGATTTCATCTTGATTCATTCACAAAATCACATTCTACTTCCAGGGTAATCTTTATGCTAAATAATGAGGCCTTTGTGCTGACAGCGACTTAGACCTGCACTGGCATTACATTAACTCATCAAACTCAAGAAAATCAGCCAAGAATTCAAGGCGATTATATTTGCAGATGATGCGCTTATCCAGATCCACTTACACTAAATCAAGAAAATTAATTAACGCATCTGATTTGTAGACACAAATATAGAGTGTTTCCATAAATGTTTTCCATGTGAAAATATTTTGTTTGTCCTTGGTTTTTGGGGCCTTTGTTCTGTACAATTTCAGTGTGTGTGTGTTTTGTGCATAAAAGCATCTTTTTCCTCTCTCACAATTGTCTCTTTTTTGCAGGTCAGCAAACTGCATTTTGTACTGCACTGAATAATCTACCGTATTTTCCGCACTGGAAGGTGCTTCGGAGTATAAAGCACACCTTCAATTAATGGCTTAAAAACATTTTCATATATTAAAGGGCACACCACATTATAAGTTGCATTAAATAGCTAAAGGAAACACAATACAGCTTTATTTATATCGAGCTTTCACAACCGCTGCAGCTGTAACAAAGGGCTTAACAGAACATTTAAAATACTACGTCCGAGAAACCAGAATATTGATCCAATGATAGAGAAATCTATGAACAAAATTGTATCATGTTTAAAGTTTCGGTTAATTATGGCATGTCTGGACATACTCAGCGCAGAGGTGTCGGCCGTTTGGGCGGAGGGCCTTTTCTTGAGTAATCACGTCAAAGCAAGGGGGGGTGAACAGATGGAAGAAGGCGAGATTCAATCACAGAGTGGGAATAAACAAATTGGGAACAAAGAGTTGTTGAATACCAAAAGACAGTTTGGGAACAGCTGTCGCGCCCAGGTGGACATTTGTCATCAGCAAAGTCTGTGACTTGTGTATTCGGGTAGATCAGATCACTACCGAGGGGCCGGACCGGGGGGCGCGGTATGCAAATCTCGGGGGCAGTGTCTTTCTTGTATTTTGCAATAAAAGTTCGAACCGGCGGAGAGGGAGCCGAGAGTGTGATCATCGGAGCAACTACCGTCGTTCGCTCTCAGAGATCCCCTCCCGCTGATATTGAAGACAATTTTCCTGTGTGCCGAGTCATTTCTTTAACTTTGTCCGAGAAAATCTCTGACATCCATATATAAGGCGCATCGGATTATAGGGTGCACTTTCGGCTTTTGAGATAATCGAATGCTTTTGGGTGTGCCTTATAGTGCGAAAAATACTGTAATTTGTCTCAAGGTAACTGTTGTTTAAACAACATTCTCTTGAATGGTAAACTGTCTCTTATCACATGAATGTTTGTGTAAGCGTTTAACAATTGAAGCAAAACAGTTGGACTACGTCAGTTGAGCATGCCTGCACTACCGCTCTCCTGGCATGAGCAATTGCATGGTCAAAGGGAGGGGTGCCCATTACATTATGCGGGATCGACCGGTAGATCGCTGACTGGTCCCAAGTCGATCGCGAGGGGTGTAGAGGAGAAAAAAACAATCACTTGTGTGTCTTTGTGCATGTTAGTCATATTTTTTTGTGTGTGTTGATGTACACTGCACCCTAATCATCCTATCAGTCTCATTTTTACAAAAAGTATTTAAAAAATAAAATAAAATAAAGCAGGTAAATCTTCAACCTACGGTGGCACTTGAACTGCGTCATCGGAAGTTGTTAGCGCTCAGCAGTCTGCAATTGCAGCTTGTGATCAGAGCTGTTGCACTATATCTTTTATCGGTATCATTACAGTATTCTCATTCAGAGTTTGTTTCGTGTACAATTCACCGAGGGCACGGGCAAAGAATAGGAATCTAGAGGGCCGAGGAAGCACTTTAAAACGGTACGTGTGAGCTATAATAGTTAACAGGCTGCAAAAGTGCGTCGCATGCCTCTGTGTCAGGCTGTTGCTCATCATGGCGTGCGTGTGTATGTGCGTACGCGTGCGCGGTAACGGGTCGATCGCAGGAGGTTGGTTGGTTGAAAAGTCGATATTCGGTCCAAAATGTTTGGGCACCCCTGGTCAAAGGAGTTCAAACGTGGCTGAAATGTGTGCAGCAGGGGCACAACAGAATGTGCACATTCAATTGCTATGCACATAGGGCGAGGTTCAATGAAACAAAACATGCCTTTTATACATTTTCAAGGAGCGACTGATTTACTTTCTGTACCTCAGCAAGATGTTTGTTCATTTCTTCCACAAGGATAAGTGCAAAATCCTCTTTATCAGGATACAGGCTGTCAGACTTTTTTTGAGTGCAAAACCACGGGAGGGGAAAGCAGGACTGCAGTCTCCCTTGCTATCCAGGATCAAGAGGGTCTCATGAACTAACATCGACAGATACACACATTGGGCTATCAGGATATATTGAACTTTAGCAATGGCCTAGATGACTCTGTTTGAAAGATACATCTTCAATAATCTTGCTGTCATTTTGTACGGCGTTGCACCGACCAGAACCCGAGCGAGAGTAATCCATAAAACCGGAAAACCATGGCTTAAACCCCATTGCAAAAGCGAAAAACTTTGGTACATAAGGGTGTATACTTCTGTGCACAGCAACTATTGTCCCATCTGTAATACTGAGTAAATTATTTTATTTTATACATCAGTCAATGTTGCATGCACATGCCTGTGCTCAACCATAATTTACTGAAGCATGCCTGCTGTTAAGGGAAGCATGTGTACTGTCCTTGCATATTCAGGGTTCATCATCATCAGCAGACTGATGGCCAATGGCGGCTGCGCCGTTGCGGGGGCCCACAACCCAACTTCAGAATTTCTCAGTCACAGTCACTGAAAATGGCCCAAAAGTGCATTTTTTTGGTTTCAGCCTGAAAGATTTTTGTTATCCCAGCAGAAACAGAATGTCGTGAGGACGCAAGAAAAAAAAAACACGATAGGTACACGCTCAATTGGATAAAACGGCATGAATCAAGGGTCTCCTCATGTTGCTAGTTTTGGATGGACCCATTGCCCCCAGCCTTAATAGATTCGTGCTAGCGGCAGTGAGAAAACCCAATGGAACAATATGGAAGCAGTGCAAAGGGATTCTTCCCCAGCAGATTATGATGTCCAGTAATACGGGGACAACAGCTGTATGCTGACAAGAACTTTATTCATCATAGAGGTTTTAGGACAACGCGCACTCACATCATGACACTTAACAGCAATCAGTCTTTACTGTCATAACACTTTTTGTGATATGGCATGCAACGGGTCTTCTTCACTCTCATTATTTGTTTTTATTCGTTTCTAAGATCATCCATCAAAATGTCTTCACATGAAAATGGTCAGTGGAACTATTACATTTGGGGGGTCTCCATCTTTATTAAAATAAACAAACCAGCAAAAATTCATTTTGTTTTTTGTTTGAATGTCGGTAAGTAAATATTTTAAGAATTTGGTTGTTGATTTATTCTTTGAAGCGACAATATGAATCTGCAACTGCAATTTAATTTTAGTGAAGTTAGTTCACACTTCACAGTCATAGCCATCAATGCAGTTGTACATCGTAAAGACAGCAAATGTGAAATAGTCACAAAAAGTTGTATTATGTTCTGAATAGACGGGGTTAGTCCCATTTCTGACAGAACCACCGCAACTTGGTTTTCAGCCTTAAACGAACATACCGGTCAAAATTAACTTCCTGGCATTCGATTCTAAGGGCCATTATCAATGGCATCTGATTCCATGAAAAAAGATTTCAGCCGATTAAGTATTAAAATATTGACATACCTCTGTATGTTGCCATAGTATCAGTCGGTCATTTTTTTGTGACAATGTTTTCTCTGGACCAGGCAACTTGGAAAGTCAGGCAGGGTATGTCGTTGTTTTGGTTCTTAATCGGCTTAAACCTTTTTTTCAGGGAATCAGATGCCATTGATATTTGCACTTTTATTCTTTATACACACTGACTAATTCAATGCTGGAAAATTAATTTGGACCGGTGTGTTCACGTCAGACCCTTTTGCATTCGCATTAGTCAAACCGTCGGCGTTTCAGATATCACACATGCTCAAGTTCAGTGCTTTTGCTGTGGGTGAATCCTAACCAACCAAACGTTGATTGTTGTGTTTCAGTCCGAGGTGTCGTGGATACCAAACACTCATTACTCAGGTATTAACGGCTTGATGAAGCTGACTCTAACCAAAGCCCTGCCACATGACCTGTCAAAGGTCATTGTCCTGGATACGGACATCACTTTTGCCACTGATATTGCTGAGCTCTGGGGTGTTTTCAGAAAGTTCACAGGTAAAGCATTTTGTATTTTACATACTGTCCCAAAAAAATAAAAACATGTACATTGCACTGTATCTGCTGAACAAGACGCCAATGACTGAAAGTGTGGTAGAGGTCAAATAAACCTTGCGCTGCAGTTTGGTTCGGTTCTGTCTCTCTGTCTCTTGCGGGAGTCTGGAAGAAAAACTGATTTGTGTGCTATATTTATAAGCGTGAGTCACACATCCTGTAATGTGGAAAAAAGTGCTTCTTTCAGTCCAAGACTTTTGCAGAGCTCGGTGCAAGACACAGAGGTGTCATGGAACGCCAATTACACTCAATTCATGAAGAATTGAATGTGTCTGATCACCATGTACTGTTAAGAACTGAAAGATCCTCAAAGGGAAAGAGTTTATAGAGAGTGATGATGGCATTTAGGCCCCCTCAGTCATCGTTTTATTCTCATTTCTACGGCAGCGTCTTGTATTAAGTTCTGCCTAAGCAGACAAGTTAATAAAATAATCATCAGGTTTACGTTTACACCAGTGTATTTATCAAGGTTATACATTCAATAAGAAACCGATGAGCAAACAAAGATGCTGTCACACTTAATGTCACTGTCTGCTTTGGAGTTTTATGAATGAACACAAACTAAATCTCCACATGGGTAACAGAGGCTTTGCCTCTAATCCCATGCAACCAAAACACATTTTGACCTGGTTTATGTGTTCGCAGATAAACAGGTCATTGGTCTTGTGGAGAACCAGAGTGATTGGTACCTTGGAAACCTGTGGAAAAATCACAAACCATGGCCTGCACTTGGCCGGGGCTTCAATACAGGTAGGATTCTGACATAAGCTAACAGTTTGCTACTGCACCTGTTGCACCTAGAATCTACTGTAGGGGTCGCTAACTCAATTTGTGTGGGGGCCGCTGCAGAGAGAGTCTGGTCTGCACCAAGTATTATGCAAAAAATGGGTTCATTTATTCAAAAAAAGTACAATTAATCTAATCTTTGCAATCGTTATTAATAGCCATTAAGAATATTTATGGCTCTTCAGGTCCTGAACAAGATTGCCTCACCCGGTTGTCTCTCTCATCTTCCTGGTATTTTCCATTCGCCTCTTTGTGTGTGGCTGAGCAATGACTGAATTTTTTGAGCACCGCAAATTTGTCAGTTCGCCACTTTCCATCCCCTCTTTGTCTTGAAACTGGTTGTTCTCGTCGCCAACCTTTTCTTTTTATGGCGAGTTTTGAAAAACAACATGACTGGGACTCTACTTGCTGTCACTTGAGAATTGCGTTGTCTCAAAAGATGTCATGAGCCTGAGCTATGGTAACCCATGAGTGATTCAAAAAATAAATAAATAAACACACATGCGCGCACACACACATAATGCCCAGTGCAACGACACAGCAAAATGGTGGGGGCCATAAAATCTCATACTGCGGGCCACAAATGGCCCCCGGTCTACAAAATTGAGACCCCTGCGCTACAGTGTTGCCCACTCACAGGTGACCTTCAACAACCTGACTTTTGCAGAGCTCGGTGCAAGACACAGTTGTCCAGTGAGTCCTAAAATGATCATATTTTCTCTTGCTTCATATGCAAAACTAGGTGTAATTCTCCTCTACCTGGAGCGACTCCGACAAATTGGATGGGAGCAGATGTGGCGCCTGACAGCAGAGAGAGAGTTAATGAGCATGCTCAGTACATCTCTGGCTGATCAGGTGAGGAAAACCTCTGTTGTTCATTGGGGGGGAGGAATTTACTCTTGAATTGAGTCCAATAATTTGAAGGTCAACAAACGTAATAACGACTTGTGCTTTCAGGACATCTTCAATGCATTCATAAAGCAGAACCCGATTTTGGTCCACCAGTTGCCCTGTTTCTGGAACGTTCAGCTGTCTGATCACACTCGTTCCGAGCTGTGCTACACTGAGGTTTCTGACCTCAAGGTATGCTCACACAAAATTGGGTGAGGGGCCGCTCACTCTTAAAGGGTAATAAATTGTGCACACTTTCGCACCCCACCCAGATCTCTTAAGAACATATCTGTGACATGCTTTCAACAAGATCAGCCATTCGTGTTTAACCAGTCGTGCACATAGATGGTGCGTCCCACTAAAAAGTGTATCTCTAGTTAAAGATGAGAAATTCAGTGGCAAGAAAAAAATGCAAACCATTTGTAATTGTTTTCTGGAGAACTTTCTCATCATGTTATGTAGTCCTCATATAAGTCAAAGGCACTGAAAACCAAAATGGGCTCCATTTTCATAAATCCCGCGCAGCGGGAGTCACATCTGGCACAACAAACAGTCTCAATGGAAACATCTCTTTGCGGAGGAGGATGATGCATAATTGCAGCAATCTCTGCGTGAGTGAAGTCAAGCATTGCCACTGCTCCAGCCATGCTCGAGACAATGTGAACCGTGATAGCTGCTGGCGCCTTAAACATGTCCGCAGAGTTCAGTATCTTTCTGTCTGTGCCTCGATTTGGCCAACGGTCACCTCTGCACCAGTGGCTTGGCGTGGTCTGAGCAGGTGTACATTTAAATCGATTTTCCGCCACATAATTGTCACTCGGCTCACTCCATCGCTGCACCGGCTAGTCCGGCTCTGCGCAGAGGGGTCTGTCAAATGGGGAAGCAAATGCAATGAGTTTTGTGCTTGCATGAAAATCAAGATCCACGAGCGTTTGCGCCCCACCACAGATCTGCTGTCTCAGCAGAAAAAAAATGGTCACCTTTCATGTTTTTTTTACACTCTAATTTAAGGGTCCAGCTGATTATTATTTTAATAATTGATTAATCTGTGGATTTTTGTCGATGAATGGCTGAAAAAAAAATGTAATTTCCACTCCTTTATTCAAAAACAGGACATTATTTCAAATGAGCAAAAAACGGCCAAATGTTATTATTATATATTTTTTTAATTAATCTATTCATTTCGGGTTTGATCTTCAAGATCGATTTTTTTTTTTTTTTTTAAGGGGAAGTCAAGTCAAAAATGTTCTCTCCAATAATATGTTCTATGCAACCCAACTAATCTAAACATGGTACTATGATTAATATTGTAATTAGATATCCTTTATTTGTCCCACACTGGGGAAATTTACAGTCTACAGCAGCAAGATAATGGGTAGAAAGAAGAAAGAAGAAAAGAAAACAAACACCGTTCAATT